TTATTATTAGTATATATATATATTGTGTGTGTGTTTTGATTTATATATGTAACTTTTATTTTTAGTTTTACTAGTGGAAACACAAAAAAAAAAGAGGAACATGATATTTAAGATGAAAATAGAAACAAATCTAACTATTTCTCTACGAATAGACTTTAAAATAGAATGTTTAATTTTTGTTTTATAAAGTAAGTTAAGATTTCATTAATTTAGAAATAAAACATTTAACTAATGAGAAGTTTTTAAAATTGTTTGCATAAGGCAAAATGCGAATATATATAAAAATTTTATCATTGTAAACAAGTTTTATTTTATATCGGATACTTCTATTAATCTTTGCAGATATTTTAAAGTAACTGAAAAAAAAAGAAAATTTTCAAACTGTCATTAAAATATTTTAATTATTCCCTAAAGTATAATTGACATCAAGCAGAAGTCAATGAATTTTTTAAAATTAATAGTTTTTGAACCTATTAACAAATCAACTTTCTGATCAACAAATATATCTATCTTTTATTGTTTTAAGATCTTTACTTATAAAAAAAAACCAAAAAAAAAAATATTCTCAAATATTTATCTTAATCTTGTGTATATAATTAAATATATAATGAGAATAAAAATCAGTTGATTCAGATTGATGCCATTTTCAATAAAAACAAACAAAAGAATTATTGTTTGCATCATTATATAACTAATAATCTTAATTCACAGATATCGTTCTGAATTTCTTCATGCAATAATATACGACATCTGGAAGGAATCCATTTTGAAGTACTACAGATGTGCGTCGATACCAATCAATATCAATGATGTTTACATAGATGAAAAGAAACTAATGATATGAACAAAGCTGTGTATATATATATATTACTATTGATTGTTCATCTGGAAAAAAGTATATTGTTTTCGAATAATGTGGTTTCACTTATAATTACTTTCAAGATACATAAGAAATTACTTAGAGGATATAGATCAACTCATTTTTTTTATTCTTTTTTTTCTCTCATTAGAATTTAATATTTAAAATGATCTTGAATTTAATCAGAGAAATCAACAATGAGTTATAGTATCATTCATATATTGTATTGATTTATTTTTGATTATTATTATTATCTAATATTTTTCTTCATCGATTAGTAGCTAACTTATTTCAACAATTCTGTTTTCTTCGTACAGAAGGAAAGGATGATAATTAGTCATTCTAATACTATTTATTTATAGGCGTCCAAAACCGCTATGAGAATAATTTATCAAATTTATCTTCTAGATTACGATTGCTGAATATAGTGGAGACTCGAATCCGAAAATAGTCAAGTAATATTATCATCAAATGTCATTTTGATGTTTTGATTTTGTATTTATTACAAATGTTTGCTTTGCATCGAAGACACTAGTCTTCATTATCCAAAAGTTGATTTCATTATCTATGAAATTATATTCAATTGTAATATTATTTGTTCTTTGGCACAAAAATTGTTTGTAGTAGATTTCATTGCTTATATAAATGATAGAAAATATTTTGCCTTTCGGAACGAAAAACCAAGCTTATATTGAGGTGATAATTACCATTCAGTTAATATGCCAAATCTTTCAAGATGGATACTTTCTTGTGCAAATGCAAAAATGTTGGAAATTATTTTTGTATATTGAATTTCATATCGATTCTTTTATCGAGAAAACTATTAATCGACAATAGAAAAAGCCTAATAAAAGTAATACTCGGTTCCATATATGACAGTATAGTTTGAATATGTTAATCGTTTCTCAGGATAGATCAATTGTATTCACGGTTTGTATACGAAAGTATTATTGTACAGCAATTTTTCTGACCGGATGCATATCGTGTTGTTGCCACAGTAGCAATAAACTTATGAAGAATTGAATAATTACTCTGTACATCCATAATTAGGGTTTGCGGAAGGATGAGCATTTTCACTTCACCTACACCTGCAACTTTGTACAATGCTGTCAAAGTTCAGAATTATGGAATAACGAACTAAAAATTTATAGTCTGGATTCAATAATAATCAAATAACGATGTGAGAATTATTGCGTGGACTTTCTATTTTGTTGTGTTTGATAAATAAAGTTAAAATTACATTCTTGACATTATCATCAAGTGTTGTTCATGTTTTACTGTGAGAGTATTTGATAATGAAGGATAATTTTAGCTAAGGGCATTTATACATAAAGACGAAAAGTTAGAGGTTTTTTTTTCAAGTACATTTTAGATCATTACGAAAATAACAGAGTCAACTATAGACGATACCATATTGATATAAGACTTATTATACTATATAGTTTTAGGCATGTTTGCTTGAATTAATCATAATATTTCTTCTTGGAATTTTTATTCATCAAAGTTTCTTTTGAAATTTATTTTGTTAATTTACAAAAATTTGTCTAATGAGTTTTTACCTCTATATTTAACGTTAGTAAAATAAATAGCATAATACTTATTAGTTTGTTATTAGCGTCGTTCAACAATAAATATGCAGTTTTTGAACAACTTCATTTAAGCACACATGCGCTAATATAATAAATCGAAGAAGATAGAAAATAAATATTTGTTATACAAGTTGGGTATGAGATTGCTTGAGCTCTCTCTCTCTCCCTCTCGTCTATTTTAGAAAGATGGTCATTTGCAAGTCAATATATTGTCTTTAGAAAAGTTCAGTTAATTTATGCTTAAAGTTCTTATTAGTGATGTTCCCTTTATTCATCTACCATGAAATTAAGAAAGACATGAATCATATATTGACTATTTTACAGTTATATCTAAACTAGAAGTTGATGTTTGTAATAAAATATTCGAAAACGTATTACTGCCTTTTAATATAGCAGGACGCCAGTATATTTTTTTAATAAGGATTATTGTCTTGTTATTTTTTTCTGTGAAGACTATTACCATCTATCATCAAGATGGTACACAACTAAGGGTATGAAGAATGCAAATATAATCAAGGTTTATCATTTTCATACCAGTGCCCAGGTTGAAAATGAGCCATCGGATTCTATCGGATCCGTCTCAATTCGATGAATTCCGGTGACTGAATCCGATAGAATCTCAATTGATTCCCATAATTTCCAACGCATTTTGATTACCGAATTCCGATGAAATTTGAGGAACAGATCGGATAGGATTCATTTGTTGGAATCCAGTCGGTTCCATCAAGTTCTGAGAAGATAATTGTCGGGTTGCAGTATAATATATGTTCTGTATATAAATTTATTTTTAATTGAATGCTTTTTAGATTCCAACGAAAAAAATAAGCTCAGGCATGCTAATGAATGAGCAGAATAAAAGCACATTATCACAAAATGATTACCAGAGCACTATTTTCCAAATAAAACTGAATGATTTCTCAAACTTAATATTTTGTCTCACTACACTCTAAACAAAATCCGTTCCCTAGAAATCCCAAAACCGTTCAAGAACCCATTTGGAAACCCACAGAAGCTTTCGAAAGGGTTTCCGATCTCCTGGAGCGTTTATGAAAACATTCTTTTAATTTCTGAAGATCCAGAAACCAATTGGTTTTCGAAAATATCGATTTGGACACCCTAAAAATATTTTCAGATGCCCTTATGGTATATTCAAGATTCTAGTTGGTATTTTCGGAAATCGAAAAGGTATATAAGGAAACTCATATAGCCGAAAAATTCCATTTAGTATCCGAAGAGGTATCCGAAAATATCTTTTCGGTTTCCGAATTGTTTTCAATCTTGCGAACTACTTCGGAGTTTCAATAAGTCTCAAAACAATTATCACAAAAATTGAAAAATAATATTTGCTGAAAAATTTTCAAGATCTGGGAATCCGAATCTGAACGTAGTATGCCGTAAAACATCAAATTCAACATTTTGAAAAACTGATTATAGGTTCGAGTTCCTCAACCCTGAAAACCTTTGATCGAACTTGATAGTAAATATTTATTTTTGAAAAATAAACCTTGTTTAAGGAAAATATGAAGTACACAATTTTTGAAAACCAATTATAGATTCGAGTTCCTCGACTCTGAAAGCCTTTGATCAGACTTTATACAAAATCATTGTTTTTGTAAAATAGGCTTTCTCTAACGAAAAAAACAAAACTCAAAATTTTGAGAAACAATTTATAGGACTTGTCAAAGAAAGTTACTTTAAATGCCTGCTATAGAAAATAATTCTTAAGTATTTCACAGGAGAAGTACTTTTAAGCGGTAATTGAGCAATCTCAATTTGGATCAATTTATAAGGGAGTTTCAAACATACATGTTTGCATACAACTTTGATCTAGTGGTTTATATGCCCAGTTTCGAATTCGATGATGCGCAAAAAATGTCAGGGTTTGAGTCCACCCGTCGGCAAAAAAATTTGTAAGGCTCCAAATTGAAAAATAATATGATAGTGTAAGTAATAAAAGGTAATATGAAAAATTTAGTAATAAAAATTACTATAGGAAAGTAAATGCTAAGACGTACTATGACAGTGTAAATAGCAAAAAGTAATTGACTATATAACTAATAAAAAAATACTTGTTTCCTATAAGTATACTTATTTTCATCGGAACTTGTCGGATCCGATAAGATGCTTCCTCAGTTAAACGTCCGTCGGGTCACTGGATTCTGGACTGAATCCGATAGAATCCAACCCGATTAAGTCGGAATCCGACAAGATTCAATGGTCGGATTTCTTGACTTGGGTAGAATCATCAATAAAGTAGTCTAAAATATTTTGTGGGTCAAATCAACATCTTATGTGCCTCTGTCCTTTTTGTACTCAAATAAATCAATCATTTACAATAAATTATGTATTCAAAGAAACTGCTTTTTATCATTTTTGCAAAAAAAAAGACGTTTATTATACATGATTTCTTAAAGAATATAATCGTCAATCTGAAGCAAAACAAAATTCTTGCTTTTTTCTATAAAAAAATCTTCTTCTTTCGAAGGCATGATTGAATTTATTATTAAAAAAATAAAATCATCTGACTTCTAACTTCGACATTAAATTACTGTTCACTGAGATTTATTCAGACTATCTTCATTCATAAAACTCTTCTCTGGATTTGATAATGCTGATGATGTTACTAAATTGTGTCGTTCAACTTCTGCTTGAATCATTGTTTGTTGAATCGATTTTGGTAATCCCATATTGAGAGCACATATATAAGGTATCATTTTTTTTGGTATTGTTTCAAAATTAGTAATACATCGAATGAACATACAATCATCACGTACATATGGAGTATTTTCTTGTTGAATAAATGTTAAAGGACAAAACTTAGGTAGACCCGATGCAATATTCATATTTGATTGTGATCGTTGAAAACTATTTGATCTAATATCAGGTCGAAATGAATCAATAATATGACGTTGATTATTTGTTTGATCATAAAGACAAAATGTAATTTTATAAGAAAATGGCCATGTCAATATAGCATCATAATCTCCTCGCATAAGTACAAAAAAAAGTGAAAGATGTGTTCGTCGTGCTTGACCATCACCATTAAAATATAATCTCATACACATTTTATAACCAGTCGGTGATGAATAAAATGGTGGAGAATAAACACTTGTTTGTCGTTCCGAAATAGAATCATTAATCTTCTGTGAAACATTTGTAATTTTCCAAATAAAAGTTCCATCATATGATGATTGACTCGATAAATCTGTTATCTTTTGTTTTAAAGTTTCAATTTCAGTTTGTAAAACATTTGTATTTATTTGAGTAGCATGAATAAATTGAGAACTTTCTTCAATAGAATTTTTTAATTGTTCTATTTGATATTGTTGTTCTGAAATATTATTATGAAGTTGTATAGCATTATCATGAATTTGAACATTATCATCATGTAATGATGAAAGCCCTTCAGCAAGTAAATTTACAGAATCAGTTATTTCAGAATAATTTTCTTCATTGTTTGATAACGTAGTATTAGTTTTAGGCTCACTATGTAATTGTTGTACGCAAAATATAACGGCTCTTAACAGACATTCTTGATGAATTTTACTTGAATAATGTGCTTCTAAATCGTCATATGGTATTTCTTTGAGACAACCAAACTTTTCAATAGGACATGTTACGAAATCATCTATAGTGCTACGTCCACGTTTATGTGCCATCTCACAAGTATCATTCTATAAAGAGAAAAGAAAAGAATGAAATTTAAAGTAAAATATGTTTTTTTTTCTAGAATGATTAATAAGATAGATGAAATCTTTTGTACTATTGTTCCTAAATACTATTATCCATTTCCAAATAGAAGAGCAGTGGGTATTTTTTGAATAACTTCTGATAAAAATAAGACAGAGACCTGTGATTTTCATCATTGCAAAGAGGAGATGAAGGCGCAGAGAACACATCTTATTCCGCGATGTTGAACATTGCGGAATCAGTTCCGCCCACAAAATCGATTCCATCAATTCTAGAATTCCGTCCAATTCCGGAATCAGAACTTCGTAGATTCATTCGACACCTCTCACCAAGCACCCAATGACCCAATTCCAGGATAGAATTCCGAGACTTGAGTCAAGAGGGAATTGGACGGAATTTCTGGGAACTCCTTCCAATTCTGGAATTACAATATCTTAGATAAACTTCTATCTGTCACTCCTCTTCATTCAACTCAATTTCGGTAAGGAATTCCGGGAATTGATTGCAGCCAGAATTGGAAGGAATTGCACCAAATCACATGAAATTCCTGGAATAGGTGTGGGTGTGAGTATGGGTGTGAGTGTAGATGTGGGTGTGGGTGTGGGTGTGCAAGTGAGTATATCTTCCCTTTACCCACACCCACACCCATAATAGTCTTTTTTTAGAAGATTGACTAACAGATAGAATTTATTGTAGGTATAGGTCTTGTATAAGCGTACATGATAAAAATTCTTCTTTAAATTTGATAGTAAAATTTTAGATATAATCAAATTGATATAATATGGTTCATCTGTAGAAGATTCTCATCTATGTCATTTTTTTAAGGATATTTTCTATTCTCATCCGTCATCGATTCAAAGTAAAGATAATCTGAATATATTATATTTATTCAATGCTATACTGACAGCTGCTACCCTCTTTAAATAATTATTTATGTTCCAATCTGAATAGTAAGTATTAGTGTATATATCTATATCTTACCTTTTCATCATTGTCAGCAGTGGATCGTTTCGATGAATTTTGTCTTATATACACTTCACTTGCAGTGGAACAAGCATCACAATTTGCTCGTGTGCTGCTTTGCGTTTCGTCTGTGGGATAAGTCATTCGTAATTGTTGATTATTTGATCTATGAAAACTACTAATAGAATGAAACATTCAAACATTATATGCATTTTTATACTACCTTCTCTTGTCATGAGGAATAAACCTACCAGAAAAAAATGACTCACATATATGACTTCCCCTATATTCAAAAAACGATTGGACATTGCATACTCTTACACGTGTATGATTGTGCAATTACAAGGATGAAAAAACTACAGAAGTAAAATTTTCTTCATTCTTTATCAATGACGCATACTATCTAATTTGGAAAAAACGCAAGCATTAGCAAATAGGTTTCATGGGAAAATCCAAATACATAAACAAATAATTAACTATGAACTATAATCATTATTATTACTGATATTTTGCTGATATGATATATAAATGCAATACTAAAAGTCATGACTTTCCAACGAATTTTTCTTTATTACAAACAAATTATTCAAGGTTAATATCAAGGAAGTATGTTTTACGATGAAAATAAAGTTAGAAGAGGATGTAATTATGAAGTTTGAGTCAGAAATAAAATTATTATTAATTAAGAAATTTTATCTTTGTAATAAATATTATTTCTTTTCAATAAAATTATCAATAGCAAAATTTAGAAATCGTTTTTTTTTAATTAACATTCAGATTTCAATGTTTTATTTTTGTATTATAAACATTTAGTTGATATTTGTTATCATAATACTGCATAATAGGTATTTACCAATAAACTTCATATGGGATAGAATTATGTAACTCGTTATACGGAAAGAATGAATCAATTAGAAAAATTCTATTTTCATGGGATTATTACTCAAAGATATCCTATCAGTAGAGGATAGGGAATTTTCACGACCTTTCTCGTTGTCATATCTAAGAAATTTCTATTTAGTAATTCGAACTTGACTTCTTATTTTATCAACTATTTCCTATTTTATTACATGTAAATTTATTAATTCTACACATCGATCGAAAAAACAATTAAAAGAAGAAGAAAAAAGTCAATCACTAATAAAAGTATAAATATACATTGTATAAAAAAACCATAAAATAATAAACGATACAAAAAGGATTTATTAGTTTCATCAAACTTTCATAAGTCCTTGTAAAGTTATGAAGACAATAAATGTATGAAGGATTTATGAAAATGTGATGAAAAGTTTATAAGGCTAATAAATTCTTCTCATCAATTTTATTAGTCTACATTATTATTTTTATAGTGTACTAGAGCTAATATATAAATAGATTTTAAAACAAAAGAAGAAAATAATGTTTTATCACGATTTTATGTATTAATTATAATTTTTTCAATGCCTACAAAACAAAATAGTATATCTAATATTATTCGACCTTCACTAATATCATGAAAAACCAAAGATATTTTTATTGTTATCTATGTGCAATATTCCAATATCTCTTTGAACAAAGTTATTATTTCTTTTAAGATATCCTCCTTAGAACAAAAAAGAGTCAGTTTTCGTAAGAAAACATGAAAATTGAGATAAATGCATGAAAAGATAGTCCGAGATGTGATCTTTCATAAATAATATAACTTAATATTTGACATCTTCATTTTTTCCAAAAAGTTCCTTCACAGTAGAAAATCGTTTTCATTTTTTCTCTGTTTATGTTGTTTTTTTCATCGCACATCCCAAAATTCTTGAAAGAGTTTCATTGTAGTCAATAGCTTCTTTTTTATATTGTTCGAAAGGTCATGTCAACATGCAAGATATGACAGAGCCAATTTTGTGAAATAAAACTTTGTTACTATTATATAAAAGAGTAGTTTTATAATTAGAGTACCATGTTTTGCGACATTGAACTTTTCTCCCTTTTAAAAAGTAAAAATTTACAAAAAAGGGCTCGGCCGTGTCCTGCATCCTAACATGCTCTCTCAAACAAAAAAGAAATTAAGTATATAGAATGAAGACACCCTGGAAATCCTGGATTACCAAATGAGCTATTTGTGACTCTTGTTAGTTGAATATCTTCCGAAAACATCATGATATAGAATTGAAAATTTTGCCATAATCTCTCCATTACAGTCCGAATATATTCTGAAAATTTCATGCGATTACAATATACCTAGGTCAAGATCGATATTTGAGAGGAGCTTTAACATTATATCATAAGACATAGAAAAATTTTAGATGTTCAATTTTAAAACCAAAATCGACTGTATTCGAATCATTCGTTAATTAAGTAAAAGAGATAAACTTATATTTATGTATTTTAGATGAAAAATTATAAACAACAAAACAAATAAAATTCAATAGATAAAATCATGATTTAATAAATGAAATGAAACTATAACAACATCTTAGATTATATTTTTATATAATATTTAGTTTAACGCTTTAATAAGATAACATTGATCCATTGAGATTAAGATATAAAACAGAAATTATCTTCTTTTCGATCTTTGTTATCTTTTCGATTAAATACATTATTTGATGATGATTAATTCATTCAGTAAGCAAAAGAAAAAGATTTACTATTGAATAACTATACAATTTATCGATTTGTTGATCAATGTATTATTTTTTCTTTTGTTCAAAGAAAATTTTTCTTCTTTTCTTTACAAATAGTATTGATCACCTATTGAACGATTACTAGTGTTCAAGATAATGTTGACCTTTAACAATAGTAGTAGTTGTAATCATCAGCAGCAATCAATATATATATATATATATGTTGACAAACAGATAAAAATGATATCATCGATCATGTTTATATGTAAATCAAGATAATATTCTTATCAATCAGATGTTTTTCTTGAAAGTGAATATGTAAATATCATAATCGAAAAAACAATAGAAATTACTTCATTGAACTCAATATTGATGATCAATAATTGAGTAAATTAATCTTAACTAACAAAAAAAAGTATCAATTTTCTCATTTCGAGTTTAACGAGTATTCTTTGCTTTTTTTTCTTCTTGCCCCAAGATAATTTAATGTATGTGATTTGAGAATAGTGACCATCGGTTGGTTGTTCAAACTCAAGTATGTATATATGCATTGACCAACTGATGATGACGCCCTCCTCCTACTTCTTTTCATTATGTCCTTTTTTTTAACACCTGCGGCTATGAATTCATTCATGACGACCTGAATGATTATGATGAGAGCGACTGCCAGATTAATATCGACTAATTCATATTATCAAAAAAGCTACTGGTTGGTTGAACATGAAACACTTTGCACATGTTTCGACTCTCGTTTCCGTGTACATCCGTATATATATTCATACGTATCCAATATCAAAAACAGAATACGGATGTGTTCTTTCTCTTGTAATGGTTTAGTTAAGATGAAGAAAACAAAATGTCTCCAGGAAATAACAACAATATATTATAAATGAAACATCGTTTGGGTTAGTCGTACTATAGTCGATATATATTGTGTAGAAGAATAAACATAATATTCTTTTATTGCTTTTTTTTCTCTATATTTATGCATACGTTCATTTATTGTTTGATGCTAGCCAGCTTGCAGTGTCATCAATCATATATCTTTTTTCTTCATCTTCTTTTTTTCTTCTTCCAAGAAGTCAGAAGTTCATCATCTCATCATTATTGAAATAATATTCTCTCAATAAACTTCACTATATTAAAAAGCATCTTGATTATGTCTGTCTATTCGAGATGAAGACAAAAGGTGTGTAAAGAAAGCAAAAAAAATATTTAAACTTGGCAAACATTAACTGTTGAAATAGAGAGAGAGGAAGAGAGAGACCAAAAGAAAAAAAAATAGATGAGAAATTCAATGAGTGGCACCAGACGACAAGTCGATCACGTTATGCAAATATTATTTCGTTGTGGTTGCTGTTACTAGACATCTGGGAGTGTTGATGGTATGTTCATTCATTGGATTAACACTATGTACAATTCCAGATAGTGTCTTTTGAGATTTACACCATCATATAATTGCTATTCTTCAATGATCAAAAAAAGAAGACACGAGTTTGTATTCTACATATAGACATAAAAATGAATGACATCAATCAAGCTTTTCTTATATCACTTTCACAAATTCTCTTTTTTGTTCTAATCTAATTTTCATATTGTAGAAGTATTCAACCGATTCCTGTTGCACGAACTTCCGGTTTTCAACTAATCATCTGTCTATTGATTAATGATTCTGTCTAGAATGTATTCATTTGAAACCATACATACATACACTTGCTATGTGACCTTTTCTCTCGTTAAAAATTGACAATCATTATATTCTTTGTAGCCGAGATTGAGAGAGACGGGTACGTAATGCATTAGAATAACATTACAAATATAGTTAACGACAAAAAAGAAGAAGAAGATTATTCTTTCTTATTGTTACGGACAAATAATGTCCAACAGTCAAAGAAATCAGGTAAGTAATAAGCGGATATATTGAGTAGGAGGTTCATTTACGTTTGTCGGCATGTCGCGTGTCAAATTAGAAAGTCGTTCATATATATATATATATATACTCGTTCTATTTAATCATTCTATGTATTCCATATATTAAACCGAAAATACATATTAACATATATCTATTCAAGTATACATGTACAGTTATATATAATACATAACCGATCACACATCTTATCATTCTTAATTAATGGATAGAATAAGAAAAAAAAAAGTGTCCGCTTTCAAACTATAATCCTTTTGCCCGCAATACACAAAATGAAGCTTAGAGTCAGCCATCATTATTCATTCTATATAAGTATCATTGTTCATGTTCATGTATACACCTTTAGCTATTTCACCCCTCGTTCATTCATCTGTCTAATAATCTATGTCAGTTTTTTTTTACTTTGACAATCATTCTCTTGAGAGATCAAATAGCAATACAGATCTAAGATCTATCATATCGTATGAGTTTTCAAGTAGGTTAATGTATTCGCAGTTGATGGACAATGTATAAACATCTATGTACTACTATATTGATGATTAAACATTGAACCATATATATATATATATATATACATATATATGATAAAAATCACAGACATTTTTGCATATCCGAGTAGTACACATGTTACATTTGATCATTACAGACAAACGACAACGATGTCGATA